AATGTATAGTGCAATAAAATAAAGCAAACTGTTAAATTCTATTTGTTCAATTTTTTCCTTGATTATCGAATGGTAAAATTTTCACTTTACACTTATTTTTTTATTACCATTTACGTATCATACATATACCGTATATTACATATTTACAAAATTCGTGTACAGATACATAAATATATAATGAAATTTGAATAAATAATACTCAAATATTATTTGAATCGATATGTTACATCAGTGTATCTGAGGTTAGTATGCTATGTTTTCGGTTTTGATGCTCTGCGCCGAATGCAGATTCAACCTTATACGCTTGCGCTGAAGCTATCCCCTCTTAGATTAGAAAAAAAATGGCGGACCAATCAAAACAATCCAAAATTAGATTTCTTATGGCCAGACTCTTATTACAGGGTCTCTAGTACATACCAAATGATACCCTCGCGCTAAGCGTATGACGTGCACAAATAATCCTAAGCTTGCGAAATCGTCATCTAAGATCTAACAAAAAAGATATTCCAAAATATTTGTTTCACGTGTAATCGTTTTGCTAGCACAGATAAACGATATAGTAAACAGCACAATTGTGTATCAAGTAAATTACAGTATGTATTGCAGTAGATGGCGTAAGAACTTGAGAAAAGTAACAGGCGAAAGAGAGATAGACATAAGTTATTTTTTCTCTCTTAAGGTGATGCTGGACCCGCCTGTATTATTGATAAAACAAGAGTTTTTGACGTTTTCGTTCCAGTCAAATCTCTTCGCAGTAGTTTCACAGAATAAAAATGCCTTCTCCACGATTAAAATATTCATGCTAATGTATCTGCCTCTGGTCTATATTGTGTCCAAAGTTGGAAAAAGTAAAAGATCACAGATTTCTTTATCCTTTTAATCAATATGGCGACCAACGCTGAAGATAAAAATGGATAAAGAAATCTGTAATTTCATACTTTTCATGAAAGTTGTTAATATTTAAAAGAATTATGTAATTTAGTAAAATTAAATGTAAATATAATATAAGAACACGAATTAGATTCTTAAATAATTGTCTGTTATTCATTTTAATTCTAATAATTTATAACATTGAAAATGACCCGATCGGAGTCGAAACGTCTGTCAATTTATAATTTTCTCATTGAATTATATTATTCGATAAATTTACTTGGCTCTTTGCCCTTCTTATATTTGTATTACTAGAATTAATTTTTATATTGCACGAGAGATTCAAGATAACAAATTTTGTTAGACAGTCGACATTCTCGAGTTTACTACTGAGGTTACAACAATAAATACAAGTACTTGAATTCGCTGATTTCAGCAAATAATTTTATAAAAACTAGCAATCTCCGGATATATCATTGTTCTGTAATTAACATTTTATACTTTAATATTTCTTTTTCAATTTTTGATATAGAAAAATATTATACTAATTAAAGTAGTTTTCGTTAACACGATGCAACAGAACACAATACAACGCAATAATATATTAGGTTTGTTCTGTTTAGCTCAACGTATGCAATGTTTCCATTGGAGGATTCAAAGGAAATATCACGGAAACAGCCAAATTAATAAATAAGTATTACCTTAAGCATAACTTCGCGAAGATGATCTTATTTAAAATAAGAAAAATTTAGGCAAGAACTTCTTCGCCAAGATCGTCTTAATTCGCGACTATGAAATCTACTACTATTGAGATGATCTTGATTGAATAAGGCGTTTTTCGCCAAGATGGTCTTAACCCTTTAAGGACCGGACGGACACTTTTTGAACGCCAACTTCAGCGCGATATTGGATAATGTTACGGCCAAGAAAAAAAATCTGCACCCAATGTTTCTTACGTAAAAAAGGCTGCTCTTTCAGATTCTGCAAACAGAATTGGTCCAAAACTCTTTCCAAAAAAGATACAGCTGTTTTTTTTCCAAAAAATCGCTAAATTTTTAAATATTTTTTTCATAAATCATCAATTTACACCCGGAAACTGCAACGCAGAGGACTCGGAAATGCAAAATATCGCGTTCAAAATGTTTCAGCTTCAAAATGATGCCTGCGATTTTTCAAAATTTCAAAATGGCGATTTAAAAATGGCGCCAAAAGTGCAAAATTTGTATATTATTTCATTTTTAGCCAATCGATTGAAGTTTCGAAATCGGCAATTGCTCAATAACTGCAAATTTATGTTTTTAGAGTCGCTGATTACAAATATGAGGTCAGATTTTCAAAATTCAAAATGGCGGATCCAATATGGCGGATGACATTTCTAAAATATTAACGGATTTTCTTAAAAATGGTCACTAAAGGGTTTTTGGGGTCGCTGATTGCAGATATGAACGTTTTTTGCCGTCAAAAAAATGGACGTTGCCCGACTCTTACCACCAGGAGGTAAACGTGTCGTTAAAAGTTATCTTCTTTTTTTATTATGTATAATTTGTTGTATTTTTTTTATTGTGTACAATTTTTTTATATTTTTCGTCTTTTTTCCATATTTTCCAAACGCATTTAGTTTTTAGAAACGAATCATGAGGTGAACCTGGCCATTATATCTGGTTTATAAACAAAAAACTACCGGAATAAAGGCGATAACCCTTTAATTTGTTTAGAATAGGGAATAAGAATAATTCTTTAATCATTTGTAGTATGACTCACACAATGTGATAATTTATCTATCTCTATCTTTGCATTCTTACACATTGTGTGAGTCATACTATAAATGATTAAAGAATTATTCTTATTCCCTATTCTAAACAAATTAAAGGGTTATCGCCTTTATTCCGGTAGTTTTTTGTTTATAAACCAGATATAATGGCCAGGTTCACCTCATGATTCGTTTCTAAAAACTAAATGCGTTTGGAAAATATGGAAAAAAGACGAAAAATATAAAAAAATTGTACACAATAAAAAAAATACAACAAATTATACATAATAAAAAAAGAAGATAACTTTTAACGACACGTTTACCTCCTGGTGGTAAGAGTCGGGCAACGTCCATTTTTTTGACGGCAAAAAACGTTCATATCTGCAATCAGCGATCCCAAAAATCCTTTAGTGACCATTTTTAAGAAAATCCGTTAATATTTTAGAAATGTCATCCGCCATATTGGATCCGCCATTTTGAATTTTGAAAATCTGACCTCATATTTGTAATCAGCGACTCTAAAAACATAAATTTGCAGTTATTGAGCAATTGCCGATTTCGAAACTTCAATCGATTGGCTAAAAATGAAATAATATACAAATTTTGCACTTTTGGCGCCATTTTTAAATCGCCATTTTGAAATTTTGAAAAATCGCAGGTATCATTTTGAAGCTGAAACATTTTGAACGCAATATTTTGCATTTCCGAGTCCTCTGCGTTGCAGTTTCCGGGTGTAAATTGACGATTTATGAAAAAAATATTTAAAAATTTCGCGATTTTTTGGAAAAAAAAAAAACAGCTGTATCTTTTTTGGAAAGAGTTTTGGACCAATTCTGTTTGCAGAATCTGAAAGAGCAGCCCTATTTTACGTAAGAAACATTGGGTGCAGATTTTTTTTCTTGGCCGTAACATTATCCAATATCGCGCTGAAGTTGGCGTTCAAAAAGTGTCCGTCCGGTCCTTAAAGGGTTAAGTGCTGATTTGAGCTCGGACTATGAATACGACCCATAGTCTCCTTTCAGCTCGATACACTTGATCCAACGATTCTCCAACTTTTTCAAACCGTCCGAATAATATGATATGTCCAACCCTTCAAAATAAGCCTTTGTTTCGGTGATGAGCTGCTCTCTGGTGGTGAATCTCTTTCCTCCGAATCATTTCTTTAGGTTTGGAAACAGGCAACAGTCGCAGGGGGCTAAATCTGGCGAATATGCTGAATGGAAAAGCAATTCGTAGCGGAATTCATTAAATTTGGCCATCAGTGCTGGGCATGTGTGAACCCGTGCATTGTCTTGATGGAAGAACAGTTTCTTTTTCGCCAAATGTGAACGTTTTTTCTTTAAAATGTTGTTGAAATGGTCCAATAAAGCTGCGTAGTAATCACCATTGATCGTTTGCTTCGATGGAAGGTAATCGATATAAATTATAATGCGTGCATCTTAAAAAAAACTGTGGCCATCACCTCTCCGGCCGACTTCACGGTCTTCGCCTTCATCGGAGCTGGTTCACCTGGTAAAGTTCATTGTTTTGACTGTTCCTTCGTCTCAGGTGTGAAGTAATGGATCCATATTTATCCACAGTAATAAATCGACGCAGAAATTAATCTCGATTTCGTTGAAACATCTCCAAACATTGTTTTGAAATCATCACACGGTCGCGCTTATGGTCCACAGTGAGCAAACGTGGCACCCATCTTGCTGATAGCTTTTTCATATCCAATTGTTCATGCAAAATTGAAATCACTATGCCATGTAGTATGCCTGTGGCCTCAACAAGCTCACGCACTTTCACTCGTCGATCAGTCAAAACAATATCGTGGACTTTATTGATTTCTGGCATAGCAGCCTTAATTGGACGTCCCGAATGAGGTACACCATATGTGGATGTACGACCACGTTTAAATTCATTCACCCAATTGTACACAGTCGCAAACGCTGGTGCAGATGTGCTATGAACATTATCCAACTCGGCTTTGATTTTTTACGGCGTTAAACCTATTATATGTAGATGTTTGAACACTGTACGAAACTCGTTCTTTTCCATTTTGCAAAAAATAGAAAGGTTGTTCGCTTTAATCATCTACAGAAATGAAACCTCTCGATGAATTTTGCTCAAAATTTGACAATAATCAACTGACAGATGCTACTTGTCAAAAAGTAATGACATGACACTGCAAGTGCCCTCTGACAGATTTTCTAAGAACTTATTGACTTGCCCTTGTAATTGCTACGAACGGTTCTATGCGCAATCAAGGACTGTGCTTTTATCATAATCAGTTTACTTTTATACGTAATCGTTTTAGAATGCGCAACTAGATGTCTACCTGTTACATAGAATCTTAGTATAATTGTAAAATCGGTTGCAAAGCTTTTGTACTTACCAAAATAACGACTTCTTTGCTCCAAAACAATTTCGCCTATGTAACAATTGTATTCTGTTAAGAAAGATATACCAATCTCATCCACAGTCCTTAAATTCGTCAGATAGGTGCTAAAAAGCACAATTAATTGTAAAACCAACAATTATTGCCAAAACTAATTCATAATCAGTGATTTGTTAAGCTTACCATTTTTTCCATTTAGCATTTATTCCGCTCGAATCATAAGGTAAAACCGATTTTAAATTACCGTTGTTACCCAGGATTAAAATGGGATTTTTGTTAGACTCGTTCACCGAGGTAATGACCTCGAGGTCCGTATAAACGACAGTCGCCTGTATGTCTTGTTTCATATCGATATGAACTAAGAATAATCTATAACAAAATATATATATATATATATAATGTTCGATTGATAATCACTGAGAATATTAGTGATTATTGTGTTTTAACACTAACAATATCTTTTTGCGAATTATTATTCTTCAATGGATATATTCTCACCTGTGATATAATCTATGATCTCTAGTAACCAACTTTAAACATCCACCACCATTGTAGGAGAATTGATCACAAAACTCGAAAGTATTGATATCGATAGTAGATAATTTGTCTTCAAACTTGACTAAGTTACCACACACTCGTATAATGTTCTTTTTATTTTCGTAAATACGTTCTATTTGATTTTCCTTCTTCTTACAAGTTTTGTTACTTTCATTATTTTCAACTTCAACATCTCCAGTAAGGATTCGTTGTGTTGATCGCGTAAATTGCAAATATGGCACAGGAATTGCCAATTGTAGTTGTTGCATACGTAAATTGTAAAATGCTTTTTTTTCTGGTGTGCTTTCGCCATTTATCGTGTATGGTTCAAAATGTTCCTAAACAAACGCGCATGTATGTATAAATTAATTTTGTATACCATATTTAAACAATTTAACAAAAGATTTAACATTTCAATTATTTAAATATCTTATTTTTTATTTAAATTTACCTCGCCATTATAATAATAGCAGATACCTGCACCTCGACAGAAAGAAGTTTTAAATGTGTCATTTTCAAAAATGGCTACGTGCACATATAAATAAGGAAATAACTGAGCCCAGAATAAATCTTCTAGAACTAGAAAAGTATTTGGACCAAAGTACTCATGTGTCCATCCAGGAGCGAAGATAGCGACTGAAAGCCCTTGTTTTCGTATCAAATTTAATGCCTTAAAAAATAAAAATATATTTTCTTATTAATGCTTTTGAGACTCACAGGAGTAATTTTTTCAAATATACCAAAAAGTTTACGGATTATCGCAATGTTTTTATTCATTGCTAATGGCAACGTTTCGTCAAACTCACCGTTCACAGATTCATGAATAAAAATGTATTTTATTATCTGAATTGATTTATTGCGAAAGATTATATATTATATATTGTATAAAGTAACGATAAATAAAAATATTTACATATGCTGAGTTGAAACCACCTCCACCTGGACAACCTCTTCCCCAAACATCTAATCCAACATAAATATCCTTAATATCGCGATCTAATTCCTTTGCAAGTAGACGACTATTGCTCAATCGCAATTCTGTCCAAGTATAATTCAAAAATATACCATCACAGCACAGGAAAAATTCTCTAAAACAGAAATAATAATTATTAAATCATATCGATAGAACTAAACTATTGACTTAAAGAATATTACTTGTTATTATCATTGAGTTCATTCTGCCAATTTAATTCACCCTTATTAGTCACACTATCATACCAGATAATTTCCGAATCTTCAATCTTATTGTGAATAGTTTCTGTTAGATATTTAATAAAGTAAATTAAATTATTAATATCTTTTAACTTAATTTTATTTTCAATATTCAAAAGCCAGCCCTCAAATTGATAACTTTTTGCAATCATTACTAGAGCATCTGCAAATTTTCTTGCATCTTTTTGCGATGCAAGAATTGTATCCCAGATATAATTGTTTCCTTCCGTAATAACAGTACCCAAAACTTTTACACCGTGATGATGAGCTGTAGTAATCCATCCATAAGGTGGGATAGTCACAAAATGGTGACTAAAATAAACAAATGTATCAACAATACTCCAGTGATAAAATACATAAGAATCATGAGAGGTAGAACCTTGTAAAAATCTGTAGATATAAAACAAATACAAATATGATTATATTAACTAAAAAAGTATATACATTACTTTAATTGAGATTATAACTAATACAAATACAAAGTCTATAACAGTCTAGCTTGGATCTTTTAATTGTATAAATTGTTTAAAATTTAATTGTTTAAAATATCTTACATATAAACTACCACGAATTAAATTAAATTAATAATTAACTAATATATGTAGTCTTCCAAATTACGTGCCAAACAATTGTCAGTCTTGAAATACAACTCTTATAATAATCTGAAAATAATAAATCTGAAAAATTATTCTTATTGCGAAAAATATTACCTTGGCCGGGAGTCAAATCCAGACACTTTGCTTTACGTGCAAGTGTCTTAGCCAATTAGACTATCAAGGTCTTAATTTTTTTTTCACAATAAGAATAATTTTCCAGATTTATTATTTTCAGATTATTATAAGAGTTGTATTTCAAGACTGACAATTGTTTGGCACGTAATTTGGAAGACTACATATATTAGTTAATTATTAATTTAATTTAATTTGTGATAGTACCATGATAATTTATATGTAAGCAATTAAAAGATCCAAGCTAGACTGTTATAGGCTTCGTATTTATATTAGTTATGTTCTTATATTAACAGTCTTTAGTATTGAATATTGTTTAATTGAGATATTTTGTAAAATTACCTGTCTTCAAGATAACCACCTTTCATATCATGACAGACTAATGTTCTAGGTTGTTCGGCTCTATCCACTCTTTCCAGCGAAACTTTCTGTTCAACAATATCTGAACCTCGATACACATAATCTACTGATTCTGTGATATATACCAATGGTAGTTCTATTAATCTATTGTCCAAAGTACTGTATAATTCTGCCAATGTATCAAAAGGCAATAATTCTTTTACTTCACTATTGCTTGCCATCTCAGTGGTATTTGATATGCTGTCACTGCATTTCATGTTGCTTGCATTTCAGTTTTCTGATAATAAACTATAACATATAATGATCCTTCCTGTGTAGCTATCACCGGACAGTATATATGATATGGTAATCTATTTTAGAAAAAAATAGTTCAAGGTTCCGATTAGGGATGGGCGATACAGCGCCGATGTTTTAAATATCAACATTTTTGGACTTTTTTCCCTATATTATATATATATCAATATTTAGTAATTATTTAGAATAACCCCCTTAAATCTTTATAAAAATATACTTATTCGACGTGTTTTCACACAAAACAAAAGAATCTGTAAGAAAAATGCGGCGATCAGCCTTGTAAACCAAGTTATTAAACATTAAAATTCGAGACTTTACAGGTTAGGATATCTGTCATCCCGACTCGATATAAGCGCTATGTGTACGTACTTTCCTTTCTGAAAAGGAATATGTATTTTAAATAACCTATCTCTGCTTCAAAATACATATTGGCTGCATCCAGAACATGAAGGAAGATATAAGGAGACTCCACTCGGTCTCGCCAGTCTACAAGACATGAACCCATTTTAGGTTTCGAGTTCCGTTTCCGATTCTCGACACTCGCAGCGCTCGTGAATTTAGTAGTGCTGCGCATAATGAGTGCGAGTAAGAGAAATGATCATTTCTCTTACTCGCACTCATCAGAATCGGAAACTGAACTCGAAACCTAAAATGGGTCCACTTTTATTTTACGGAGTGGAGTCTCCTTATATCTTACTTCCTGATCCAGAAGCACGATCGCTCACTGAGCACATCACTACTTTAAAAATATAAAAGTACTACATAAAATATCACTGCTTTAAAAACACGAAAGTAGTGTTTCAAAAATACAAATTCACTGCTCTAAATACACAAACTCTGCATTAGCAGTGAATTTGTATTTTTAAAAGGTACATTCGTGTTTTTAAAGCAGTGATATTTTGTGTTTTTGAAACACTACTTTTGTATTTTTAAGGAGGAACGCCAGAATGACGGGTTAAAAAAATAGATTTTTTTTTCATTTTTGTAATGCTTGGAGTCTTAAAAATATGTCCCTATAATATCATGTTGAAATTCCTAACGGAACAATAGTAAATATATGATGTGAAATTTTATCGTTTTATATAAACTAAAGCCAGTGGCACACGGTGCTTGTTTTCCTGCTGGATTGCTAGCTAGATCAGATTCTTGCCATTGGATTGGCTGCGATATTGGCACTTTCAGCACCGCAGCCAATACGGTGGCAAGATTCTAATCCAGCTAGCAATCCAGCAGGAAAACAAGCACCATGTGCCGTAGTTTTAATTGGTTGTAAAACAAACATGTTTTTCTCGAAACTCGAAACCATGATATAGGCCGGTATTCATAGTCAGTTCTTATATTCAAGACCGTCTTAAGTTCAGTCTTGAGTAGTGACCCTCTAATAAGAGTCTGGCCACCTTCTCCCCGGTTTGTGATTGGTCCGACATTTATCATCCATTCCCGCAAAATTCTTTAAATTTATAAATTGTAAAAATTAATAAATTCGTAAAAATTAAAGTAGAATCAATTACAATTTTTATTTTTATTATTATTTAACTTATATTAACATTATTAAATATTTTCTATAAAAACTTTTATGTAAAAAAAACGTTGCAATATGTCTTTCATAAAATAAAAACAACAATTAAGTAAATATTATAAATATATTGAAAATATAAAAATTAATATATTAAGAATATATAAAATTTATAAAAATATTACAAGATTAAGAAACTTTAATAAAAATTAAATTTAAATACAAATAATACAATTAATAATTTAAAATTCTTAACAAAAAATACTTAGGAAGCACCAATAGGGAATAAATAAAGTAGTATATTTATGCAGAAAGAAATATTTCATGTATATTTCA